AAAGAAAGAAAGAAAAAGAAAAAGAAAAGAAAAAGAGAAAACACAAAATGAAAATGACAGATGACAAGAGTTGGTGGAGTGAGAACTCACTGTCCTTGTGGAAGTCCCAGCTGGTTGTTCATGCGTGTTCAGGTACGGAGGTGTGCGTGTGCGCACCCTTGCACGCACGTGGGGTTCTATATCTGTAGGCCTGAGCCCTGAGCCCAGCGCCCACGCACACTGGGCATGCGCTTTGCATCCCGGGCCTAACTAGTTCCTTGCTAACCATCTGGCCAGGAAGAGCATGAGAAAGCTCACATGACTTTGTTTTGAGCATGCGCAGCCAATGTGTCCTGCGCAGGCGCACAAGAGCAGTGTTAGCACGTGGCCCCTGCTGGTACCTGGGGACCCGAGACAGGGACAGGGTGGGTCCTAGCACGCTCTGCAGCGAGGAGGCAGCCGAGAAGCGACGTTGTGCCGCTCGCCCCAGCGGCTCCACCACGCTGATCTCAACCCCTGTCTGTGCCCCTACAAGGGTCGCTGGCGCCCCGTGAACTCTCCACGCGCACGCAAGCTGGGGACGACATCGCGGTGAGCTGGCAGCCTCCCACGCATGGCCCCGCAGTGCAGCAGTACGTGGTGGAGTGGACGATGCTGGCCGCGCATGATCTTCAGGCCGCCCCAGGCTGGCTGCGGCTCCCCTCCTCCAACAGGTCCGCGGTCATCTCAGGTATGTTGTTGCCTGGCCCCCAGGGTGTCCCAAGGTCGTGAGCAGCGAAATCCCAGTCCATCCCAGCAGCACCACACAGAGGGTGTGGCCACACACACACACGCACACACACACACACACACACACACACACGGACTCTGAGTCCCCAGCCTGGCACAGCAAAAGAAAAAGCCTGCTGCGTGCGGCCGAGCAGATCTGCAGTCCCAGCACTCCAGAGGCTGAGGCAGGAAGATCACTGCATTTAAGGCCAGCCTGGACTACACAGCAAGACCCTGTCTCAAAAAATCCTGAACCAAAGCAAGCAAAAAAGGTAGCAGAACAGAATATGCTGCCTCAGCCATGGGGTGCTCCTCCTGCCTCAGCCTCCTGAGTGCCGGAAATCCAGCGGTGCATCACCACACCTGGCTAAATTACTTAATACTTACGTCTCAGCTTCTCCATCAGAAAAATGACAGTAGTGTCACCTATTCATGTTATTGTGAGGACCCAATAATACGTTGAAAACACCTTAGAGGGACAGTGCGGGCTGTATTTTAAACAGCAGATGGTTTAGCGGTCGTGTCATTATTTTGCCACTAGGGGGAGCTCAGAGTCTGATGGAGTTTTCAGCTCAGCATCCTAATGGTGCCCCATATGGTGAGATCAGCACCCCGCAGTGTGTCCCGAGGGTGAGGGGGCCCCCAGCGCACAGCAGCGCAGAGCTGGCCTTAGCTACAGTCACTGTCAGGGGCCTGGGCCCTCGCAGGTCCTGACCCAACCGTGCCCTCAAAGCACAGGCTGCCTGAATGGCCCAGGCTCCCAGATGGAGGCTGACGCAGAACTGCAGGGGAGCCCAGAGCTGCTCCCCAGAAACCGTTTAGCTGGGGCCAGGGAGATGGCTCAGTAGGATAAGCGCTTGACTGGCAAACGCAAGGATCTGAGTTCAATCCCCGGTTCCGCCAAAAAAAAAAAAAAAAGAGAGAAAGAAACTGTTTAGCCATTAGCAGAGAATTTCACATGGGGGACATGGGGAGGCCTGGGGCTGTCACTTCTTCCAGTCCAACTTTGTAGAGTAACAGGGTGCCTTCACATACTGAGGAGGCTGAAGCAGGAGGATCCCTCGAGTCCAGGAGTTCAAGGGCAGCCTGGACAGCATAATGAGACCTTGTCACAAAAGCAAACAACGCACCTCCAAATGTTTCTGCTGGGGCCGTGGAGAGCAGAGGAAGGCAGGTACCAATTTTGAGACGCAGCCTCAGCCCGTGACAGCACCGTCGATCCCCAGAGCTTTGTCAGCGTCTGCAGTTTCCCCTGGGGCTGTCACCCGCTGTCCTGGCAGACTGGCAGTGGACTGAAACAGCGTTCCCCGAACGAAACTGGTAGAACTCTGTTCCGACACACGGAATAGACGACAAGGAAGGATTTTTCCACACTTAGTAAGATAAAGTATCTTAAAGCCATGCAGAATTATGCATTTGAGTAAAATCGATAGGCAAGCGAGTAAAATTAACTTGGCAGTCGTGTTCCACTTAGAGGCACCAGGGCGGCGCTCGCGTGCGCAGCTCCTCCCTTCTGGAAATACAGCTTTGAGAAATGAGCCAGGCCTGCCTGCCAGGAGTTCAGCACCAGACCTGCAGCCACCCTCGAGGGCCCTCCTTCCGGCCCCTCCGCTCTCTGCTTCCCAGCCTCCTGTAGGCCAGTAGCTCTCCCTGCAGTGCGCCCTGCGCCCTTGGACCTTGGTGCCTGCTGACTGGACTAAACCCTGAGCCCCACCAAAGCCCCCCTTTAAGCTGCAGGCGGGTATTGTTTCTGTGCTGAGAGTGACTCTTCTCCTGCACAAAGGCTGGGCGCCCGCATTCACCAGCAGAGACCCACCCTGCTGCCCTCAGGACGCCGAGACCTCTGCCAGCTCAGAGGTGGCCTCACAGCAGGCACAGGAGCGAGGGCTGGCACCGGGCCTTCCAGACTGAGCCCGGCCCACCCGAGGCTGTGTGGGCCTTTCCGGCACGGGCCTGGATGCTGCCCGAGCACCACCACGCCCTGCGCTGCGCAGTGGGTCCGGCTCTCCCCCAGGTGTGGGGACTCAGCTCCAACTCCTGCCCAGCTGGGTTTCCATCTTGCCTTTCTCTGCTGCTGGAATGGCTTCGGGACAGAGCTCTATGTGCTGCCGGCTGCTGGAGTGCTGAAAGGGTGGCACGTTGTCATGTAAAATGCACTTTAGTGAGTTATTCTGAGATATAAAACCCCTCGCAGGAGATGTAGGTCGCGGTTGAGCACTTATTTAGCTTGCCTGGGGCTGTGGGTTTGGTCCCCAACACAGGAGAAAATCCCCCAAAGGAGATCTTGAACCCCGATCAAGCAGACCGTCGGCATCAAGCCTGTGGCATTGGGCAGCGCCACGGCATGCCCGCCTCGGCACCAGGCACAGGAGGGTGCAGTGCTCTTCTTCCTGGAAAATCTTTGGGACTGAAAGCTGCATCATGCTCAGCCCTATTTTCCTCGCTGCTCTTGAAGTCAGGCCAGGAAAGCAGGGAGATCTGGCAGGGAAGGGGGCTCCCCACAAGCCCCGCTCCTGGCGGAGACCACTCCGTGTGCCTGGCCACAAGGGCGGTGCCTTCCCATCCAGGCCCTGGGCTGTGGCATTGCCCAGGGCAGGGGGGGTGAGGCCTGGCACGCTTCAGGCCCTGGCTGGCCACATCCTGGTCGTGTCCCCATCCCATGTGCCATCACGGTGCCCTGTGAGTACCCAGTAGGCATCAGGGAGCAAGATGGGTCAGCCTCCCTTTCTTGCAAACAATAGATTATTTATCTGCAGAATTCCTTAAAGGGAGGTGGCTTTGCTTGTTCTGTTCCCCACCGCAGGGGCAGACTGTGTGTGCATGTGTTCGTGTGAATATGTGCAAAAGCTGTTGGAACTTGAATAACTTTGTCTTCTTTTGGGGGTTATTGTTTGGTTTTGGGTGTGTGTGTGTGTGTGACTGGGGATCTAACCCTGGGCCTTTGCACTGAGACATGGTCTCACTGGGACACTGAGTGCCCCAGGCTGAGCTTGAACCTGCAGCCCGCCTGCCTCAGCCTCCACAGCATGTGCGTCCTCGGGATGGAGCCCTGTGTCTCAATGGAAGGAGCCTCGGGTCAGTCGGGCAGTGTGTCTCATGTGGGAAGCTGGGAGCTGGGACTTCCAGAAGCTGGCGATGTGGTGACAGGATTCTGAGAATGGGTCACAGGTCAGTCCTTTATGCTGAGCCAGTGGTGGCAAACCTGCGGCACAGGTCCCGCTCTGGAAGGTTCACCATCACTGGGCCGGCCCATTCTTGACCCATCTTGAAAGGCACGAATCCGGGTGGCCGTGCACACCTGTGACCCCAGTGCTCCTGGAGGCCGAGGCAGGAGCACAGCAAGGTCAAGCCCAGCTGGGCTTCTTACCGAGTAAGAAAGGAGAAAGGGGCTGGGGGCATCGCTCCTTGAAAGCCCAGGCCCAGTCCCCAGCAGCACAAGGAAAAATACCACAAAAGGCCAAGCAGCAGCTGGAACGCTGCGAAGACGACAACTGCCTGCCCGACTCAGGGGCAGCACGCCTGTGACAGAGCCGCTTTCCCTGCAGAGAACATAGAGCCCTACGTGTGCTACGAAGTCCGCGTGTTCGCACTGTCGGGGGACCAAGGCGGGTGCAGCTCTGTCCTGGGCAACTCCAAGCACAGAGGTGAGCAGGGCTGGTGCCAGTGTCACATTGCACTGGTGGCCTGGGTGGACCCGGGCTCAGAGGGTGACGGAGCTGCCTGTGTCCTCTTCCCAGTACCGCTAAGCGGCCCCCGCATCGAGGCCGTTGTGGAGGACAAGGGGCGTGTCCTGGTGTCCTGGAGCCCCAGCCCAGCCCCGGAGCAGGTGGGCTGCATCCTGCACCTCCGGATATACTGGCGGGAACAGGACTCCAGCGCCCCCCTGGGGCTCCGGGGTAGGTGAGCTGGAGCTGCCACGGGACCTCTGTCCTTGCCTTCGCGGTGGCACAATCTTTTTTCCTTGGAACGGAGGAAGTGCAGGTCAGCAGGAGCGACCCTTACTCCCTTGGCAACCCTGTCACACACTAAAGTCCTGGCAGGTCAAGTCTGGCCGGTGGCCATCTGGTGATGGCACATGTCACCCACTCGTGTGACGCTCCAAGCCGACCTCAAATGCCCCTCTCTGTTGGGAGACTTGATCCTCAGAGGAGACCTCTGTGTCCCCGTGTGAGGGATGCCAGCTCTAAGGACTCATGGAGTTCAGGGACGGAGCCCGCCTGGACAGAGGGAGAGCCCAGTGGGCATCTGCGTCTCAGCATGGTGCATTCTCGGCGGCCATCTCAGCACCTGTTCACCACATGCACACCCCGTGGAGCTCGGGTCCACCTGGTTATCCCCTGGTCTATGCCACCAACCCCAAGTGCCCAAGGCTGCATAGCCGTGGGCACTGCAGATGCCCCATTAAGCAGATTTGTGGAAGCTGGGTGCAGTGGCACGTGCCTGTTCTCCCAGGAGGCCGAGGCAGGAGCATTGCCAAGGCTCGATGCCAGCCTGGGCTATAGAGCGAGACCCTGTCTCAAAAAAAACCAAAAAAACCCAGGGGCTTGTTGACAAACAAGTGGGGTGCCACTACCCGGCCCCCGCTCAGCCCCCAAGAGCGGAGCTCATTTCCAGCACAGGGTGGCTGCCTGTCCAGTCCCCTCAGCCTCTTCCCACCCCTCCAGATGACACACACCTGTCCCATGGCACACTGCCCTGTCCCTGAGCCGCACGGTGACCATGCCCTGGGCTGGGCTGTACCATGCCTGTCCTCTAGGCCAGAGGCACAGCAGCACTGGGCGGATCGCTCCCGCCTGACTTCCTGCTTCTCCCTGGCACACCTCGCCTGTCCTGCCAGCCGCACTGCCCACCCGTGAGGATGCGTGTGTGCATGTGTCACACACACAGCCACACGACGGTCCTGCCCTGGACAGCAGCCCGGGCGCTGAAGCTCACCAAGATGAACATCCTCCCTGCTGCTCGAGGACCAGGGCATGGGCTCCAATGGCCTGGTCAGCTCAGGCGTGAAGCCCGAGTGCGCAGAGGCTCAGCAGGCCAGAGGGCGGGGAGGCCCCACTGGGCCCTTTCTCACCAGGACAGGGACACAGTAGTGGCCGTGACAGGCACAGATGAGTGACCGCAGAGGAGGGGTGCTCACGTGCTCCCTGCAGGCTGCACACACAGGAAGCATTGGGGCAGCATCTACCCCACGGAGGGTAAACTCTGGTACCAGGCTTAAGGTCAGCCAGGGCTACACAGAGTTCAAAGCCAGCTTGAGCCACAGAGCAGCGCCTGCTTCACAAAACGAGTTAAGCCAGTTGTGATGGTGCACACCTGTCATCCACTCAGCACCCGGAGGCTGAGGCAGGAGGATCGCTGTGCGGCCGGCCTGGGCTACACAGTGACATTGTGTCCCAGGAAAACAAAAAACAAGTAAATAGATGATTAACCAATAGATCCCCAATAGTGATGAACTAGCACTACTTTTGAACAGCAGTATGCTTTCCATTTTCAATTAAGTAAACGATTTCTAAGTTAAATAGTGAAAGCCAATACTGAAGCTCTTCCTTTGAAGCCTACTTTTCTCCCTCTCGCTTCAGAGGTGGCCCCCAGACTTGCCCAGAATTCATACCCACTCTCGGGCCTGCAGCATGGGGTGACCTACATGCTGTGGATGACCGCAGTGACAGCTGCCGGTGAGGGTCCCCCAGGAAACCAAAGGGAATTTCGCCTTCAGGGTAAGTGCAGTGTTAGCCTGTGTGAGTGGAATGTGTGTACTCTGCCTCTGCAAGTCGCTCTGCCTTGGGTCCCCAGGGGTCCCCTGTGCTGGAGGCAGAGTCAGCGGCCTCCAGGCGCCATCTCAGTGATGCATACCTATAATCCTAACAATCCCAGCACTTGGGAGGCTGAGGCAGGAGGATCGCTGTGAGTTCAAGGCCAGCTTGGGCTATATAGCAAGACCCTGTCTCAAAAAAAAAAGTCCAGGTGTACCCCGACTTCGGGGTCACATGAGGTCCCTGCTGAGCTCCCTCCCAGGGTTCCGCAATGGTCTCTAATGAAACCTGGCGCCCAGCACGAGGGCTTGCTCTCCAAGTGGCTCCTCCAGAGGAGCCACGAGGCTGCGCCCCAGGAAAGAGCGAGGCCTGGCATCAGGTCGCCAGTACACAGGAGCCCTTCCTTCTGCAGCGCGCCGGGTAGTGTCGGCGTGGGCGGGCCACCAAACGACTGTGCGGTAAGCCAGGCAGCTGCACCCGGCTTCCTGTCTCGCAGTCTAGTCCACGCGTTTTGGTTTTTTATTTTATTTTTGAGGCAGGATCTTGCTGTGTAGCTCGAGCCGTCCATGCATTCACAGCAGTCCTCCTGCTTCAGCCTCCTAAGTGTGGGAGCTACTGCGTGCGCCCCTGTGCCAGGCACCGCTCGGAACTTCACGCCGACACCCTTGCTTCTGGCGTGCACGGTCGCGCTCCCGCACGTCCGCGGCACGGGCTCCGGCTGGCGCAGGCGCCCGCCTGGCCCTCGCCCTGTGCCCGCGCCCCTTGCGACGCACGCGTCCCAGCGGCTGGCGGGCCCGGCTGCTGTTCACACTCGGAAACAGTAGCTGAGTGGACGGAGACGCGCACAACGCGGGCCGGGCTGCAGGGCTGGAAGGAAGCGCCCTGGTCCCGGTTGGGTCACAGGAGTAACCAACCACCTGTAGGCCTGGAAGGCTCCCGCCTCCCGCTCTCCCAGAGCCCTGCGGAAGGGGGCGGGTCTGGGCGCCATCCCTGGGCCCTGCCCCGGCTTACGCGGCAGCACTGCCATTGCAGGGAGAGCCAGCTGGAGCGCCATCCTGATCCCCAGCGCCTGCATGGCTGTCCTCACCGTGGGCGTCTTCTCCACGCGCTACTTCCGGCAAAAGTGAGTCGCCTTTTGGTTTTTCTGTTTGTGACAGGGTCTCCCTGTGTAGTCAAGGCTGGTCTCAAAGTCTGGGAGACCCTCCTGCCTCAGCCTCCCAATAGTGGGATTACAAACTGCCTTTTAAGTGCTAACATGCGCTGCCGTCACCACCGTGGGTCAAGCAGGCAGGCAGTCGGGAATGCCGGTGGATGAGGACATGGTCCAGACGTTTTGGCTCACAGTGTTGTCAAAGTTGTGAACGTCTATATTTGACTAAAAAATTCCTATCTAGAAATTTTTCTAAGGGCCAGGGAGATGGCTCAGTAAGAATAAGCACTTGCCTGGCAAGCGCAAGGACCTGAGTTCAATCCCCGGTACCGCAAAAAAAAAAAAAAAAAGAAAAGAAAAGAAAAAAAAGAAAAAAGAAAAGAAATTTTTTTCTGAATGAATCATAGATATATGCATATAGATATATGCATATACCTAGTGGAAAGTATTTACTGAGATGTTGTTCTTTAGGACAATAATTGTAGCTGGGTGCGGTGCGCCCGCTCCTGGCACTCGGGAGGTTTGCCATAAGCTTGAGGCCAGCCTCAGCTACATAGTGAGACCCTGTCTCAAAAGAACCGAAAAGGAAAAGAAAAATATTTGAAACAACCTGGGTGCCCAGCGACTCAGGATTAGTAACTCCATCTCGATATATTTCGTAATATGTCGCCTACGCATTGAGGATGATGTCGAGGAAAATCATGTGCTGTGAACATTTGCTCATTACATTTTAAAAAACAGGTTGCAAGAAAATACATCCTACCCTTTCCTAAAAAGCGCTGCGCAAGGGCCTGAGTTCAGTCCCTCGTTCTGCCCCCCCAAAGGGAGTTGCCCCTCGCTTCTCGGCCTTTTGGCCAGGCCCAAGTGTGGCGTGTACGCTCGCTGACACAAGGTGTATTGGCTGGTTATATTTCATATAACAAAGCAGCACGAGTCCCCGTTCATGGTCCCTGAGCCTGGGAGGCCTCGGTGGGTCACGGCCGGTGTGGGCCTCGCTCACCGAACCTGGTTCTGTCTCCTGCTCTGCTCTCTGCTTGGCTTCTGCCTCAAGCTCCTCAGGTCCGAAGGCTGCGGGCGCTACAGCCATCACACCTGCGCTCCACTGCTGTAAGGGGAAGACAGGAGGAGGCCGTACTTCCCTGTGTTTATGTCCTTATTTAGGTATTTTGAGACGGGGTATTGCTACCTGGTTCCAGGCTGGCACTGAACTCAAACTTACAGTGACTCTCCTGCCTCAGCCTCCTGAGGGCTGGTATGACTGGTGTGCGCAGTGTATTATTTTATAAGAAAAAGCCTTAAGTAGTTCGTTCTTCAATACAGGCTTTCTTCAGAGGCTACGTGAAGTAATGAAAGACTTAAACGCTCAAAGCTGTTCCCCCTCCAGTCTGTCAGGCAACTCCTCACTTGGGGGAAATCCACCCTGCAATGAGGACTTTGGAGCAGGGCTCTGCAGTGTTGGGTCTCTGGGCCGGGTGTGCCCATGTCACGAAAATAGTGACTCAGTGAGGACGAAATCGCTGTTCACAGCATAAAGGAGCCGGGCATGGTGTTGCACACCTGTGGTCTCAGCACTTGGGAGGCTGAGGCAGGAGGATCGCTGTGTTCAAGCCCAGCCTGGCAACACAGTTGAGTTTGAGGGCAGCCTGAGCTACAGAGTGAGACCACCTGAAAATAATAAACTAAATTAGAAGGCTCCTTGCCACACTGTTTATATCCTTTTGTGTCCCTGTGCGCCTGCCCCTGCCCCGCCCACATAGGGTGTGGCTAGAACTGCTTCAGTGTGTGCAGGACGGCCAGTTGCGTGGCCAGGCGCCCCAAGCTCCACGCCAGGCGCTGCTGTCCTGGCCTGAATAGCAGGCGGCTCCCATGACACAGTCGCAGTCCCCACAGCCCAAGCCAGCCTACCCTGATTCTGTTTGTCCCCACAGGGTGCTTGTTCTGCTGTCGGCCCTCCAGGCGCAGTGGTGGGACCCAGGGATCCCGGACCCCGCGAACAGCACCTGGGCCAGGAGCTTCCTGCTGGAGGAGGTGAGGCTGCCCAAGGCACCAAGCAGCACCTGGGGTTTCCTGCCAGACCCTGCAGCACCCAATGCCTGGGGCCGCAGACAGAGGAAAGCCATCCGGGGCGCATGCCTAAATCTAGTACCTGAGAGGCCAAGGCAGGGGCAGCGGTGCCAGCAGTTTCCTGCTGGTGGGAGCTTCTCATATTTCTGGGGCTCCAGGGGTGAGGGGTCTGGAACAGCCACCCCTCCTGCGCCTTGGCCTGAAAACGCATCCCCAGGATGGGAGCACAGCCACAGCAAGGCAGCCTAGGCTGCAGTTGGGCTGTGCTGGAACCAGCAGGCGCACCCTGGGAAGGGCTGCTGAGGCCTCAAGGGCCCCGGTCTCGCCTCTTCCCCTCCCGGACCAGTGTTCTGTTTGCTCTGTGGTGCTAAGGATGGGCCCAGGCTGGCCAGAGAGCTTCCCCAGCCTTTTTTCTATTTTGTAAGACAAGATCTTGCAACATTGCCCAGGCTGAGCTTGATCTTAGGATCCTCCTGCCTCAGCCTCCTAGAGGGCGGGGTTGACAGGCATGCATCACGACATGGGGCTTCTCTGACCAATTCCCACTTCCTCCTGGGTGGGGGTCCCAGGGGCTGGGGCTGGGAGCCCAGGAGGCAGTGAACAGGGCCCACTGCCCTGTGGCCTCCAGCGTGGCCTCTTTCCCCCCTGCAGGAGAGGTCGCCGCTGCCAGTGGACAGGGTGAAGGCAGCTGTCTGCCCACTGGAGGAGCCCGAGCCCCTGGTCATCAATGAGGTCCTGCACAGCTGGCCCAGGCGGGTCCAGGAAGACAGAGGCCACTTGGTGCGCACGGAGGAGCTGGGGGGTGGAGGCTGCAGCCCGCCCCCCACGGGCGCCCTGTACAAGGTGCTGGAGGCCCGGGGCATGGGCCCAGCGCAGGGGGTGCCGCTCCCAGGCCCTGATGGCTACCTGCCCACCAGCCCGGGCGACAAGGCCACTGGCGGAACCCTGTTGCCCCTCCCAGAGCCCTCAGAAGAGCTGACGCCGCAGCGCATCACCCTCTCTGTCTTCACAACTGGCTCCCTGCCTCCACTAGGCAAGACCTGTGGCCCCAGGCTGACCCTGGACCAGCTGAGGATGGGCTGTGACTCACCAGTGCTCTGAGCCTGCGAGGTCACAAGTCCTGGGTGGGCAGCCAGTACAGACATCAGCTCAGCCTGTGGACCTTGTCAGAGCCCTCTTGGCAGCCTTCACTACACAAAGAGAAAACCACAAGGAGATGGGCTGGCCCCACATCACACGCCTTGGTCCTGCCTCAGTCTCCTGAGCACTGGGGTTGCAGGCAGGTGGCCCCACTCTCGACCACTGTCGCGCATGTGTACGGGGGTGGGACGGAACCAGCCTGAGCCTGGGAGGCAAGCACTGCACGCAGCGGTTGTCCCGTCACAGCTCCAGAGGAGGAGCAGCCCTGCCCTCCTTGCTGGCCAAGACTGTAACATGCTCCTGTGGAAGCCCCTTTTGTTGGGCTGGAAGGCAGGCAGCTGGAGCTGTCACACAGGCCTCTCTGCCCTGCGCACAGGGCCCCGGCCTGAGCTTGGAGTGGCTGCTGTGTACGAGCGGAGCTGCCAGTGCGCATGCACGTGGCACCACACACAAACACCCTGCACACGTACGCACCCTGCGCTCGCACACATGCCGTCCACCTGTGCCACCTCTGGGCCCCGTGCACCCTTCCCACCTTTTCTCCCTGTGCAGCCTAGAGGCTGTGTCCGCAGCGCTCGGCCTCCCTACCCCTCCGGGCAGACATCTCTCCAGCCAGTGGGGCCCCAGGGAACAGCACTGCCAGGTGTCCTGAGGTTTGGAAAGAACCCTGCGCCAAGGTGGTGGCCCCAGGCCCCGGATGAGCCCCAGGAAGAGCTGCTGCGGGCAGCAACAGCTCCTTCTGAGCTGCCCCACCCGGTGTCGCCAGCCTGCCCAGGGGCTCGGGGCAAGAGAGGCATTGCGTGCTCACTGCCCCCGGCTCCTCTCCTGACCTGCTTTAGGGATGGGGCAGCGGGACTCAGGGGCTCATCCACCTGCACACAGAGCCGCTTCTAAGCAGTCCACATTTTCTCCAGCAGCCACTGGTTCTCTCCCAGGTGATGACCCTAAGCAGCACCAAGTCCATGGCTCTTTGGCAAACCTCGCTGGCTGTCCCCTACCAGAGATGCTGGCGCAGCTCTTCCATCCATAGGCAATGGCACTTTCCTTAAGAGAACTGTTCCTTCCTGAAGACCTGTTTCCCAAATCTTTCTCATCCTCCCTCCCCCGAACCAAGACAAGGCTTTATTGTGTCATTCAGGCTGGCCTCAAAGTCAAAGTGACCTCCTGCCTCAGCCTCCCCAGTGCCGGGGTTACGGGTGTGTGCTGCCCAGATACTTTACCGGCTGTGTAGCTCCAGCAGCCCTTTTCTGCTGTGGCTTCCGGGGCTAGCATGTGCCTCACATGGGCTGCCAGGGGCCATATAGCTGTTAAGGAAAATGAGCTGCTGGATGTCGTGACCAGCCGTGACCAGCGCCAGTCTTGGAGATGGTGGTGACAGAGTAAAGCAGTGTGAGCCGCACCTGCTGTGCACCTGGATCCCACCTGGTTAACAGCGAACATGTGCTCTGGAAAGCGCCTGTGTAATCCAGGTCTCCTGTGCACTGGCCCAAAGCTCCTCAGACTTCTGAGATGCGCTCTTGCTGCGCAGCCCAGGCCGGCCGCTAGCATGGTGAGCCTCCTGCCTCTGCCTCCCAAGTGCTGAGGTTACAGGTGTGCGTGCTGTGCTTGGCAAGAAGCTCCTAACAGACTTCGGCCGGTAAAGCCTTCATGAAGACGTGAGACGTGCACCGACAGAGGGGAATGCGGGATGAAGCTGCAGCCCGAGCATTCGGTCAGGTTCCCGAGCACCAAGTGCGCAGTTTCAAGCAGCTGTCCGCCAGCTCACTCTGCACGCAGGTGGAGACGAGGGAACCCAGCTCCTGCAGTGAGCGTCCCAGACGCCAGAATGTGTACCGTCATGACAATGCCCTCGGCAGTCGGATGTCAACAAATCAACTTGAGTAAAACCACTTCCCATGCAATTTGAACATAGATCAGGAGCAGCTTGGTTGACTCACTCAAGGGAGAGGAACAGGCATGGCTGACAGGCACTCCCCGGGGCCTGGCCACTTGGGTGGGGACAGAGGCAACTCTGCAGGCAAGGCATGGATGGGAGGCCTGGGGTCCAGGCTCCAGCGCGGCTGAGGAGCACACGGAACCCAGTGCACAGCCCTGGGGGTGCCTGGGAAGGGGAGGGCAGGGACAATTCCCACACGAATGACCTCACGTAGCTCCCAGGACAACTCGGAATCCCTTCACTGCACTGCCTTGCTAGTGCACACCCTGAAAAGTATCCTGTTTTCTTGCGGGAAACGTTAAGTGTGCAAATAACCAAAATGTGTAAGACACTGGGAATTAGGAAGAAAGTGCTCAAATGGGGAGGGGAGCGGGGAGGGGTGGATTACACATCTCACACAGGTACTTTCCCTTATGATCTTTAAAGTGTACCACCAACTTTACTAAAATTAAAAAAAAAAAAAAACCTTTTTACGTATCTGGCACCAGGTCTCACTATGCAGCTCGGACTCGTGATCCTGTCTCAGCCTCCTCAGTGCCTGGACCACAGGCATGCGCCATCACGGCAGGCAGGCATGCTAGCACGGAGCACCTCGGGTTCCAGAGCCAGCACAGCATGTGGTACCAGGGACCAAAGGCTCCTTGTGCTTCCCAGGCAGGTGCTTAGACTGCTGAGCTACCTCCCCAGCCCTGCACGTCATTCTAATTACAAGTCTCTGGACCTTCTGTAACCCAGGAGTCTGGGCTGACATACTTAGTAGAAAGTGGGGCAGTCTGCTGGATCGAGCCAGACTAGTCCAGAACACCCCTGGCCTTACCTTCACCTGCACCATGGCCTGGCAACAGCTTTTTAAACCTTAGCAGCAGGTTTCTCCCACCCACTGCCTTCCGAGACGCTTTCGCAATTCAACATGCATTTAACTTCATCAGCTCCCCACAATGTTGAGCCATCTTCTCTTGCAGTTAGAAAACTAATCATTGGGATGAAAGCTCTTCCCCTCGCTCCCACTTTAAACAGAACCAAGTGAGGACATGGGACCAGCCGTCCTGGAGCGCTCCGGAGACGAACCCTGCCTCGGCAGCGCTCAGAACAGCCCTGGGCCACAAAGGGAGCGGGCCTGCGGCCTAGCTCACATCGATCAGCCCTTGCAGTCAGTCCCCTGAGCTTCAGAGCCGTTACAGCTGCCGAGACAAGGGGTCGCTCCCAAACATGTTTTGGTAACCTGATTTATGAAATACCACCTCACAGAAAATCTCCTTTTTGTGTGTGGTACTGGGGACTGAACTCGGGACCCTGCACTTCCAGGGAAGCGCTTATTGAGCTATCTCCCCAGGCCCAGAACATCACATTGTTTAAAAACTGAAGCATCATCTGAAGAGGTTAAGAACCAGGCCACACCACAGGGGCTCCTACTTGACTGCTTTTATGACTTTTAAGAAATGAACATGAAAATAAATCTTTATTTTCAGTTATTACCCAAGGAGAAAGTTAGGTTCACAGTTTTAGCTTGATACAAAGTCAGCTAGGAGGCAGATTCACACCCATCACACACAGCTCCTGGGCCAGCTCGGGCGCAGGCCGGCCGACAGCTTGGACACGATGAGCAGGACTGCTGCCTTCTGGGGACACAGCTGAGCAGGGAGTTTGCCAGGTGTCTCTAATAGCAAGTGTTTGAGTGTGTTTCACTAGCGTGCTGCCGTTTCTATTCCTGCTCTGGGCTGCATCCCTGGGGGCTGGCAGGCTGGGCTTGCTGCCACCTCACAGGGGCCCTGGGCCTGGGAATGACCACAGTGACCACGGGAGGACGCTTGCCTCTGGGCCGCAGGGATGTTCACCCCTAGAAAATGCTCAACATTAGCACCAGCGCAAAGTGTGCTCGGCAGCCAAGGACACGAAAGCCAGCGTGAGTTTACCCTCATCTGGAATGCGCTCCCCCAGCTACCAAAACCAAGGACCTAGGTGACTATGGCTGATCTGGGCCTGCCACTCCCGAAGTACACAGGACACCAAGTGGCTAAGTAGCAGGTGTGTTTTAAGATTAAAATGCTAGGGACTGGCGAGATAGCTCAGCAGTCTAAAGCGCCTCCTTAGGCAAGCTTAGGCAGGCACGGGACTGAGGTTCAATCCCCAACATTCTGCACCAGCCCCGCCCTCAGGGTGGGCTGAATCCACAAAAAAAAAAAAAAAAAAAAAAAATTAAAACGCTATTTTAAAAAACTGGACAGCACCAGAGGTAGAACACTTCCGACAATTCAATGACAGAAGTTTTAACTTTTTAAACAGAACTTCTTCCCCATGTAATCAATTGGCAGAATGAAAATAACTCCTGGTGACCCTGTTCACCGATGGTTCTGCTGTGGCCACTTTTTTTTCCCCCCACTGGGGAAAATGGACAGGAACAGCTCCCAAGACAGGGATGGAGGGGCGGGGGTGTCCTCAAACGGCTTGTCCACCAGGGATGCTTCAGTAGGTGATGCTGCTCCAGTCCCAGGTGACCCTATTCCCTAGGCCAGGAAGAAGGGACAGTAATTCTCACCCTCCACAGAACACACACCAACCAACTGAAGCCCAGTCAGTAACAAAACAGGAAACCCAGAAAGAGCACATTTCTGGCTTGTGCTTCAGGGACGGTGCTGCAGCAGTTCCGAGCTCACCAGTGAAGCTGCCTGCTTTCCAAATGCCGAACCGCAAGTCCACCTGTCTCGCCGTGCAATCCGGTGCTCCTTGGTTTCTCCAGAGCAAGGTAAAGGACTGCCAACAGCAGATACCAGGGGCCGTTCACACAAACCTCACCAAGGCCAGACACTTGCTGTACAGGAGCATCCGTGTACTGCCATTAGCCAAGGGGATACTCCACCCACTGCATGGAGGGCAGAAGCCTGCACCACAGAACGAATGCACTGCACAGGCTGGTCTGCAACAGGAAGGAGCTCAAACAACTTCTACGAGAAAGTGTCTAGTCTGGTTTTTAAGATGGGGGAGGTCACTCATTTGAAAGTTAATATAGCTGAGCCTGTCAATCAGATATAATCTGAACCTAAGGAACCATGCAGGAGAGCGAGGGTTAATAAACCAGTGTGCTTTGAGTTTGTTCAAGTACTGATATTTCTGTATATAAAGATTTAGCATATAGAACAGCTATCATGAGAAGTGAAAAAAGATCTTTCCCCAAAAATGAAAGTATTAAAACTAAGTTAAAATACATAAAGTAGTTAGTATTCCACACAGCATAAAACCTGACAAATCAAAGTTTACATGTCCCATTTGACCATGAGTGAAAATGCAAAGCAGGTTTTAAAACCAATATAACGTCCAATATTTACCATTTGTAATTGGGGGAACACCTAAATCCTTAATTAAAAAACACAAATGAAGTGAAAGCTTTTAAACTGGTACACACTGTTCACACCTATATTTCAAGTTTGGAAATGCATATATGCAAGCAGCAATACAAAAGTATTCATGAAGAATGCATAATCTCTGAAAATTATGAAAACATCCCTGCTACCAATACATTTCTAAATACAAAACTGACTACCATATTTGTTAACTTCTGTGTAGCGAGAGAAGTTCATTTTCAAAACAGATAAAATTCAGTCTTTAGGTGTGAATGGTATGAATGACAGTCTTTTTTTTTTTTTCCTTTTTAAATTTCTTAGTTGTTTGGGATCCTTAAGCATGCACAAAGCTTTGAACAGAGGGTCCGCCGAGGAACCGGGTGTCTCCAGGCATCCAGTTAGGCCAGAGCTGGGAAGGCCTCCGGGTCGTCCACATCCGGGGCAGAAGCACTCGACTAAAAAAGAAGCAAAGCAGGGTGAACCAGTGTCGGGCCCGAACACCCCGCCAGCAGGGCTTCCTCAGAAGACACCTGGAGCTGACCGCTAAGGAACACGCAGCGAAGCGTTGCTCCAGAGCCTGCTGTGACTCGGACAGCACTGCAGTTCCAACCAGTGTGGCTCTCCATTTCTGCATCCAACTTCCTCACGGTACCCTGGACGTTTTGTTTTCTAATAAACCAAACAAGTAGATTCACATGGGACTTATACTTTGTTTACTAGCCATGTACTTTTTTCCACCTCTAAGTAAGAATAGAATTGATGAGGAAGACTGAGGCAATGCAAACAGTCACGTTAGAAAAAGGTGTAGCGGGGGAGAACCCATCTGAGCCAGGTCCCCTCAGACAGAAGTTTTCTTTCCCCCAATAAATATATTCTGCTCATTAAAAAAAAAAAAGTATAGCTGCTAGTTAGGGCACTGAGTACACATAATGAGATTAAGGAATGTATGAAAAAGCCCTTTTTCGGGCCGGGGAGATAGCTCAGGAGAATAAGAGCTTCCCTGGCAAGCACAAGGGCCCGAGTTCAATCCCCGGTTCCGCAAAAAAAAAAAAAAAAAAGCCCTTTTTTATGTCAAGAAGAAACCAAAACCCCACGCTGTCACTGACGACAGTAACGCATGTAGTAACAATACTGTTGTTGCAGCCAACCACTGACAGACTGGACCAAAGTGTTCAGAATGTCTGGTCATTTACACCGCCAAAAAACTGATCCAACACTCTTGACATGTGGTAGGCTCAAGTTCAAGTTCTATCGATCCTTGGGCATCTATTACAACATTTCAGAGCAGGGCACTGTGTGCACGCCTCTAATTCCAGCACTCGGGAGGCTACAGTAGGAGAGCTACTGCTCACGGGTGCAGTGAGCTCAAGGCCAGCCGGAACTATAAAAAATACAAATAAACTCCCAACGAACCAAGTTTGAGTAGGAACTTATGTGCAAAGCACTAGAAACAAAATACAGTCCTCACAATAGTAAGAAACAAAACACAATAAAAAGACCTTACGGGGCCGGCTAGGTAGCCCAGAAGTCTTAAAGTGCCTGCGCCAGCCCCGCCCTCACAGTGGCCTGAGCTGGCCAAGAAAACAAGACCTTACCAAAAAATTCTAAAATTCTTACAGGCTGGGGAGATAGCTCAGCAGCACAAGCACGTGCCTGGCAAGCACCAACGTCCCAAGTTCTATCCCCAATACAAAAAAAAAAAAGAAAAAGAAAAAAGAAAAAGAAAAAGAAAGCACAAGAGAAGGTCTTACAATCATTAACTTATGCATTGGACACAAGGGTTCTGCTGGGCCGGAAGGCACAGAAGGCAGTGAGGAATCCCCTAAGTACAGCGAACACCCTGGCATTTCCAGGAAACCTTAGTGAGTGCCAAGATATAACTAGATCTCTCGGTCCTGAATCCTTCATCTGTGAAAATGAAGTGATCACCATAGAAACAAAAACTAGAATGTAGTATCTTTTTTAATTTTTTTCCTGGAACCAGGGATTGAACTCAGGTCC